ATTGCTACAAAAGCAGATATTAAAAATATTTTTTGCTCTTACACAGGTACATTTTAAATATATTTTTTTATAATAAAATATGAAATCGGTTTTTTAATTTTTGTTATAATTTATCATTTTTTCCCCAGTATACACTTCCCTTAGATTTGATTTCAAAAGAAGTTTTTTCACAATGGATGGATGTAGTACGACAAGTAGCTGATAGACCAGTTCCACCTGAAACTAATAATCCAGACTTGGATGATGATGAACGAGCAGAATTGCCATGGTGGAAATGTAAGAAGTGGGCTCTTCATATTTTACGCAGAATGTTTGAAAGATATGGAAGTCCAGGAAATGTGACTCAAGAGTACAAGGAGTTTTCTAGATGGTATTTGAGAACTTTCAGTGGTGGAATACTTGAAGTCCTTTTAAAAATTTTAGATCAGTATCGAAGAAAGATATATGTATCACCTAGAGTAATTCAACAATCAATTAATTATATTAATCAAGGGTAAGTAATAAAAAAAAATGATTTTAATATTCAAATTACAATTTAATCAATTTTAATTAAAATATTATTTAAATTTATTTAATTTATTATTTTGAAATTAATATTATAATTATAATTAATAAAATTTTATATTATTTAATTTTATATTATATACTATTTCAATTACAGAGTAAGTCACGCTTATTCGTGGAAATTTTTAAAACCACATATGTTTGAAATAATTCGCGATGTACTTTTTCCAATACTCTCATATTCCGCTGCAGATGAAGAACTTTGGAATAACAATCCATATGAATATATTAGAGTGAAATTTGGTAAAATGTCATTCAAAAATAAATTATATTTTCTATATATTATTTTAATAAATTAATAATTTTTTATTTTCTAGACATATTTGAAGATTTTGTATCTCCAGTAACTGCTGCACAGACTTTATTATATTCTGCGTGTAAGAAACGTAAGGATATGCTTCAGGAAACTATGCAATTCTGTATGGAAGTTCTAACCAGTCCAAATGCAGATCCTAGACAAAAAGATGGTGCATTACATATGGTATTTATCTTTATAAAAAGATATCTTATAAAATAATAAAATTATATTCTAAAAATCAATTTTTTTTAGGTTGGAAGTTTAGCTGATGTATTATTAAAGAAAAAAGTTTATAAAGAACAAATGGACAAAATGTTATTACAATACGTTTTTCCTGAATTTAATAGTCCTCATGGACATATGCGTGCAAGAGTAAGTAATGCATATCTGTTTGTTTATTAAAGTATAATTAAATATTTGATTTATAATTATTTTTTTATAATTATTATTTTACAATTATTATATTTCAGGCATGTTGGGTATTACACTATTTCTCGGAAATAAAGTTTAAACAAGAACAAATATTAGTTGAAGCAGTTCGATTAACGACAAATGCTCTTCTAACGGACCAAGATCTACCAGTTAAGGTAGAAGCTGCTATTGCATTGCAGATGCTTCTTTCTGCTCAAGAAAAAGCACAAAAATATGTAGAACCTTTAATTAAGCCTATAACTCTCGAATTATTAGCTATCGTGCGAGAAACAGAAAATGATGATTTAACAACTGTTATTCAAAAGATTGTTTATACCTATTCAGAACAACTTATGCCAATTGCAGTTGAAATTTGTCAACATCTTGTAAGTATTATTTTTTATTTTTTTAATTAATTATATTATATTTAATTTTTTAAATTAAAATGAGATATTAAAAAAATATTATATATATTATTAGGCTGCAACTTTTAGTCAAGTACTTGAAACAGATGAAGGCAGTGATGAAAAAGCTATTACTGCTATGGGATTATTAAATACAATAGAAACATTATTGAGTGTAATGGAAAATCAACCACAAATTATGGCACGATTGCAACCGACAGTGCTTCAAGTTGTTGCCCATATTTTTGGAGAAAGTGTCATGGGTAAGTTAAGTAATAATATTAATGGAAGTAAAAATATTTTAAATAAATATGTATTATATTAAATTATAAATGTATATTATTTATAAATATTATTATATTGACAATATTGACAATAATATTCTTTTGTATTTTAGAATTTTATGAAGAAGCTCTTTCATTAGTTTATGATCTTACGGGAAAGACAATTTCTGGAGATATGTGGAAAGTTTTAGAATTAATGTATCAATTATTCCAGAAAGATGGCTTTGAATACTTTACTGATATGATGCCTGCTCTTCATAATTATATTACAGTTGATAGTCCTGCATTTTTATCCAATGAAAATCATATATTAGCTATGTTCAATATGTGCAAAGCTGTACGTTGATTATTTTTTTATAAAAATAAAGAAAATATTTTATGACAATTTTTTTTTATTTTTTATGTATTAGGTATTAACAGGAGATGCTGGAGAAGATCCAGAATGTCATGCTGCTAAATTATTGGAAGTTATAATTTTACAATGTAAAGGTCATATTGATCAGGTAAAATTAAATATAATGTATAATATATTTCTTTTAATAAGTAATTATTAGAAAATTTTATATAAAAAAAAATTTTTTTTAGTGTATACCTTCATTTGTGCAATTGGTACTAGAACGTTTAATGCGTGAAGTTAAAACATCTGAATTAAGAACAATGTGTTTGCAAGTAGTAATTGCAGCTCTTTATTATAATCCAGCACTCTGCCTTGAAACAATGGATAGATTACAAGGAAATTTTAGACAATCAACAGAACCAATTGCTTCACATTTTATTAAACAATGGATACATGATACAGATTGTTTCTTAGGGTGAATTTATTTTTTATAATAATGATTGCAAATTTTTTTATAATTAAATACAAATGCAATTAAATGCATCTTTGTAAATATTTATTAATTTATTTATATTAATTCATGTTATTTAGATTACATGATAGAAAACTGTGTGTTCTTGGGTTGTGTACATTAATTAGTATGGGTCCTGCAAGACCACCAGCAGTGAATGAATGTGCTCAACAAATCATCCCATCTCTGATTTTACTTTTTGATGGATTAAAAAGAGCTTATGCAGCTAAAGCATCTGATACTGATGACGAAGAGAATGAGGAAGATGATAGCGATATCGACGAAGGTACTAATTTTCATGTATATTTCTATGCATTTGTTATCACATTTTTAAAAAAATAGTAATAATTTCATTATATTTATATAGAAGTTTTATCATCTGATGAAGATGAAATTGACGATGCTAGTCAAGAATATTTAGAAAAACTACAAGAAAAAGTGACTAGATCATCTACACAACATGGTTTTAATGTATCGACATCAATCCAAGATGGACATGGTGATCATAGATCAGATGATGATGGAGATGATTCAGAATATGATGCCAATGAGGAAACTCCACTAGAATGTTATGCTACGCCTTTAGATTCAGATGACATGAATCAAGATGAATATGTTGTTTTTAAAGAAGTAATGCAAAGTGAGTAATTCTATGTTCTTAATTCAAAATTAAATTATGTCAAATCATATCAAAAATTAAGTACAATTATAATTTCTCTTCTTTTTTCTTTCCTTCTTTTAGATATTGAAAGAACAGACACAGTTTGGTATAGAGCATTAACTGGTCACTTAACTGCAGAACAACAAAAGGCATTACAGGAAATTATCTTGTTAGCAGATCAGCGTAAAGCAGCTCTTGAAAGTAAAAGAATTGAACAGAGTGGCGGTAAGACTTTTTATATTAATATTATTAATATGATTTATTATAATAATATGAATAATACAAAATTTGTTTTTATGAATATTCTATTATACTAAAATAATATATATTTATATTATTATTTCAGGTTACGCTTTTCATTCACAGACTGTACCTACATCGTTCAATTTTGGTGGAACGCTTTTGAGCCGATAGACTCCCAATCGTTTATATTTTTAGCTTAAGTAAGTAAATAAATTGCGAAGCATCCAAGTCAAACATCCTTAACAATGCAATATATGTTCCCACTGCGTTAAAACCGATACGCATTATACGCGAGTTAAATTAAACATTAAAAAAGTGTCCATTTTTGTTTGTTTCTCCACGTTCTCTAACTTATCATGACTATAGCTCGGTACATACAACAATGGTAGCATCCTTTCGAGCGTTTGGAAATCCATTCCACGATGGAATCTGCGGAGAAGCACACTTCTTCTCATAACATAATAATAAAACGTAATTAATTTTCATTGTAGAAAAATGCATCTAAAATAAACAAGAATAGTAATTTGCATTTTTTTAAATAAAAAATATTTTTGTTCATTGTTTATTTCGATTTCCAGATTCCAGGGAATATGTTCTGATCTTGATTTCCAAATCGTCGTGCTTCTTCGCCGAGTTCACGCCAATCCATCGTTCAACGCGATCGAATCTTTTTTTTTTGTATGAGAAGGAAAAAGATATGTGTGAAAATGAAAGTATGAAAGAATAAAATAAATATGTGTGTGTGTATCTGTATGTTTGAAAAAGGAAAGGAAATGAAAAAGAAAATAGTTCGATCGCTTTTGAAGCGCTCGAAAAAGTGCCTTCAACACGCTCGACGCGGATGGGACCTTAATTGGAGCAAATTGGATCGAGGCTAGGACGCTTCTCTAGTTTGTAAGTTTCCTAAACACTGTACTAAAATATAATAAATTAATGCTAATTAAAAATGAAGAATTCAAACTTTTCCAGCCTTAATTTCATTACAAATTGTAATAAAATTTTCAAAAGAAGATTAAATTGATATAGAATTATGTCATTACATTATGCTTCTAAGTAAAAATCATGTACAAAATTTGTGACTTAATAAGTTTCTAATTTAAATAATTAGCTAAGCTTTATTTTGTAAAAATTGTATAATGCACCATTAACTACTTTATTATTCATTTGTTTGAAGGAATAAAGTAAAATTTAATAATAGCTTTGCATAATAATATATTTGGTTAGATTAAATTATGTCATTAGGAATAGGATAATTAACAATGATTTAAATGCAATTGAAATGCAAAATTTTCTCATTAACAGCCTTATATTCCACTTTCGATCGATACATAAGTTAAGTTATGTGTTTTCAAATGAAGATTTTGGCAGGATATATATACATATATCCGTTTATGGAAAATAATTCATATCCTGCGAAATAACTCTCAGGGCGGAGATATACTTATACGAGGAGCTGCATGTTGAAATTATAGATACGTTTGCAGTTTCATATACACATATCATATATACATTTTTGTTAGATAAGAGTTATAGTTTAGAATAATTCGGTTATAAGTACATACTTATAATGAAATTTTTAATCAAAATTGGAAAATTATATTAATAGTATATTTTTACAAAGTTGCGACAATTTTAATTATACATTTTTGTTTTTTAAACTTGTAAGAAAAATATTTAATAAAGTAGTAAAAATTTATAGATCATTTATAGATTTCTCTTAAAAACTTTTAACGTTTTATATTTTATTTATATTTGCCAATAAATTATTAATTAAATAAAAAACTTGCAAACGTAAATGCAATTTCATTTCTTTATTATATTTGAGAGAGAAAAAAAAAGAAAGGAAAAGTAAGTATCCCACAACTCCGAAAAAATAGCGCATCGGTGGCATTTTTACCAATGGTTTATTGACCAAAGGTTCGAAGCACTCGTAAAGACGCAGAGAGGCCCGTTTAAACAAATGGACGAGAGGAACACATTTAGAGCACGAAGAAGTTCTACTCTCGACCTCTTTCCTCATTGTGTCCTCGGATAAAGTGAATGTTAATGTCACTTGAGACACCGTTCGAAATAAAACGCGCCGACATAGCCACCTCTCATTGCTTTTGCTACATTCTGCTCAAATGCTCTCCTATTATTTTGAAGGACTTCTGCAGCATCTTTATTCAATGGATCTTCTGGATTTGGTTCCTAAATAAATAATATTTTTATAGATATTTTTTTGTTTAAATATATTCAAAAATATTATAGATAATACATATAATATAAGTAAAATATAATATAAATTTTTTATTTCATTATAAAAAGTGTCATTATATATTATATTAAATACCAAAAAAAGATATTGTAATCCATAAACAATAGAATTAATTGTAAGGACTGGTTTCCAATCTTCTCTTAAAATATTCAAACACACATTGCCATCTAAATCAATATTAGGATGATAAACTTGTGTTTCACATTTTACTTTAGGTGGTTCATGTGGATAATTTGGTCCAACTTTGAAACTGAAAACAAATCTACCACCTCTATAAAATCCCTAAAAAATTAAAAAATAATTATCAAATTATATAAAAAAGAAATGAAAAAGAAATCTTACCTCATCTGGACAAATAATTAGCTTAAAGCTAAGAAGATCATCTGGATCAGGAAACTCTGTCCCACATGTTTTTGGAAGATTAAGTTCATTTATATCTATATAAAATAAGAATTTCTTAAAATATATTAAAGAATGAAAAAAAAAATATTTTATATTAAATTATTAAAGATTACTTCAATTAAAAAATAAAATTAAAATAATGAAATATTTTTAAAATTAAATGAATATTAATATTAATCATAAAAAATATAATTTATTTATTTATATTTATTAAAAATGTTTCTAAAGTCATGTTAATAATTATTTTTTAATAAGCTATCTGTTTTAATGGAAAAATACAAATATGTATATTTATTATATTATTATATATTTATTATATATTATATCTTAAAATTTATTTCATTTTAATTTATTATTTTTAATTTATTTTTTTAAATATTTATGATATTTATTGGAATTTATAATTTTTTTAATTTTAAGTATTTTATAAAGAATTTAATAAAATAAATACTTATATATCAATATATTTTTAAAAATATGAAAATAAATTAAATTGTATATATATTCAAACAGATAATGAAAAAAAAAAAATATATATATATATATATAAAATACAAAAAATCTAAATATAAAGTATATAATGAGTATTAATAAAAATGAACAAACATTAATAGCTATACAAAGTAAAACTAATTATAAGATCAAAATTTTAAAAAAATTTTAAATAAATTTCTTTCTAATTAATATATTTTTCATATATTAAATGAAGTTTGTAGTAACAAATAAAACAGAAATTGAAAAGAAGACTATAAGTATCCGTCAATAAACCTTTTGTGATTCTCAGTTGCGCTGCAGATGCTTTTTTTTGGGTGCCAGCTTTGGGTGACTCGCCATCCTTTTTCGCCTGTTTTAATGAAAATAATTTGATCATGATAGAGTGGCGGTGCCAGGCGTGGAAGGCACAAAAGTCTTCTTCCTCGAACGGCCACGCGCGCAGTTACGATGCACGCAACAAAACTTTTTGACAATGGAAACAACTACTGTGAATTTACGACTGGTTTCACGTGGACGGAATAGAATTCGTTTCTGTTACGATCACGGTATTAAAGTCCCATTTTTCATACTACATATTAAAGCCTGTATTTCATTTATGTATATATGTTTTAATTTAAGATTGAATAATTAATTCTTTTCAATAGAATAATTTTTTTTTATAATGTTTGATTATTTAACTATAATAATATAAAATATAAAATATTAATCCTTAATTTTATCTATATTTAATTCATTATTTTATAATTTATAAAAATATAAAATGAAGTTTAAATGAATTATAGAACTTCTGAATTATATATATACAGTATATATTCTCAATTATAAAACTTCAATCATTATTATTATTACTTCATACAAATGTATAATAAATAAAATTTGTTATATATAAAAAAAATACGGAATGTGAAATGTTTAAGTTATTATTATAAATATAAATGATATTTTCCATGTACTTTTTATCATTTAAATATGATTGGTAACCATTTATAATGATTTAGGATTCTACCAATCGTAATTTCTCATATATATTGGAAATATTTATTCGAGTTGTGAAAATATCTGTCGTTGGATGTACAAATAATTATTTACTATTGTAAGGAAAAATATATAAACACTAGATGGTTCAATGTTCGTTTTGAATTAGTGTGAGATATAAACGTCAATGGCTTACATTAGTTGTGCATGTTGCTTGTAACGATCAAAAAGTAACGAGATAGATTTCGCGATCTATATATTTTCTCTAGTTTGACAGTAAACGACGACACAATGGCTGGAGTCCGGGATGAAATTTTAGCTAACTTTCAGGTAATTTATTGGATCTTTAATTATTTGTTAATTTTAAATAGAACATAGATTTTAGGTTATGATGTATGTATTAATGACATTGACAGTAGTAGAAAAAATGTATAAACATAAAACAATATTTTCGTTTGTTTCATTTTCAATTTGTCAAAATTTTAACAATATTTAAAAATATATAAATATAAAAATCATTTAAATAATATTCTCTGATGGTATTTGGTACTTTATATTTTTGAATTCTTTTTGGTGTGTTGTCTTCTTTTGTCTTCTTTATTGTATTTATGGATTATAAAACAAAGACTATAAAATTAAAAGTATAAAAAGGAATTTTAAAAAAGAATTTTATTATTCATTAATTTATGATATTAAAATAAAATATTATAATATATTATTTAAAAATTAATTTTATATTAATATTTATATCAATTAGTTACGTTTGGAATAAATAAATATAAGTTGCTTTTTAGGCATGTACAGGAATTGATGATGTTGGTGATGCCATTAAATATTTAGAAGAATCAAATTGGGATTTATTGGTAAATTTTTCTATATAAATTCATTTTGTTTTTTATATAGAAATAAATAATTTAAATAATGTTATATTATATTATAGGCAGCAGTAAATCAAGCTATGCTTCGTAGTACACAATTACCTTCTGAAATAAGTCCAGATATAGAAATGATAGAAGAAATTGAAAGAATGCCACAATCACATTCATTTTCATCTCAAACTAATTGTGATTCTAAAAATAATTCCATAATGGAAGTAACAGAAAATTCAAAACCAGGCACAAGTAAATCTAAAACTTGTGAAAGAGAAAGAACACTTACATTCCATGTTAATCATCTTAATAATGAATATGAAATAAATTTATCTGAATTTTCATCTTTAAGTAAGTTTTATTATTAAATAATTTTTTTTATTTGTTACATTTATTTATTGTTAAATCAAAGATGATATAAAATAATTGATATAAAATAAAATATAAAGATAAATAATATTTACAGAGGATCTCAAACAACTTATATGGGTACAAACAAATGTCCCACCTTGCCAACAGCGTCTTTATGGATGGAAAAAAGAACCAAAATCAGATTATAGATCATTACAATCATTAGATTTACCAAAAGAAAATACTTTATACATGTCTCCTATAACAGAAGATGTTGATTTAACAACTGATATGTAAGTAAATTTTTTAAAAATTATATATATTTATATTTATATAAATTTATTAAATATTTCATTAATTAAATACATATTTTATTATTTTTATAGTGTGAGTTTATCAAAACGAATGACTCAAACATATACTTTAAATATAAGAGATGAAATAAACAAGGAAACATATAATTTGAAATTTCCTGGAACAAATACAATTTTGGATGTAAAATCTGGTATTTATTCATTAACAGCTGTTCCAGTTCGAAATCAACAATGGAAAGGCTGGCCAAATTCAGTAAAAAATGATAATGTTATGTTAGCCCAAAGTGGAATTTCTTATCCAGAACATGATTTATCTGTAAATGAACTTCCCATGAAAGAAGAAAAGAAGGTATTAATAATTATGTTATAAATATACATAGCATTAAAATAATACTTTGTTATTTTTAGGATGTCATAGATTTAATTGAAAGTGATAGTTCTATAGATGAAGATGATATAGAAGATGATATTTTTGTAGATAATGTCAGATCTACAAAAACTCAACGTCTTAGTAAGTAAATTAAATTTACTTAATAAGTATTTTAAATTTCAATTTTTTAATGTTAATTTTTTTTATTATACTAATCCAATAACTTATCATTTACAGTGCCAGAAAATGTAGCAGATGAAACAATAGGTACAATGCATTTTGCAGAAGAATTTGAAAAACGATATGGACCAGCACATCCAGAATTTTTTACTGGTACATTTAAAGATGCAGTAAAAGAATCATGTTTAAAGCCAGCAAAAGAGGTTAGTTGTTATTTAAAAAAATTATTTAAAAAACATTGTTTACCTTATATAAAATTGTAAATTTATGATGTTACAGAGAAAATTATTAGCTGTATATTTGCATCATGATAATAGTGTACTAGCAAATGTATGTTGCACACAATTATTAAGTTGTGAAGCTGTACTCCAAGTTTTATCTGCAAATTTCATAGTATGGGGTTGGGATATTACATTTGAATCTAATAAACAAAAGTATATATATATATATTTAATTATAAAAAATATTTTTTTATAATATGAAATTTTTTTTATAAAATATTTTATTTGAATTGAATATTTTAGATTTCTTTCATCTGTAAAGCAAACATTAGGATCATTTGCAACATTAGCTATGGAAAATATAGATATCGATACTTTACCTGCTCTTGTAATTATAATGAGAGCTAGATCCATTACAGAAATGTTTACAGTAATACATGCCAATGTGGGAGTAAATGAACTATTAACTAATTTAATTCATGTTGTTGAAGTATTTCAGGTAAATAAATATTTAATATATGGCTTTAGATAATTAATATACGATATTAATATGATATCTATCATTAAATTTCCATTTCTGAAAAATAGGAACAAAGACGTACCGATATTGGTGTTGAAGAAGAAAGACAAGCTAGAGAAAGAGTAAAACAAGAACAAGATAGAGCATATCAGGAAAGTTTAGCTGCAGATAGGTATATTAAAAATAATTATTAATTAATAAAATGTTTCGAAATTATATTGTATAGTATTTTAATTAAAACAATAAATAAATAAATAATGTGTATATGTTATATATGTATATTTTTTTTAGAGCGAAAGAAGAAGCAAAACAAATGCAAGAAGAATTAGAAAAGCAACGAAAAGAACAAGCAGAAAACGAAAGGTTGGCTGAAGAAGCAAGAAAAGAAGCTCATAGGCAGGCAGTAGAATCAAGTTTACCACCTGAACCACAACAAGGAACTGGTGATGGAGTGTTAAAAGTACGAGTGCGGCTTCCAGCTGGAAAATTTCTAGAGCGCAGATTTCAATCTGATACACCTCTACAAACACTTCTTAACTTTCTCATTGTGGAAGGTTATCCAACAGAAGAATATAAAGTTCTGTGTAGTTGGCCTCGAAGGGATGTAAGTAGATGATGTAAGCACTTAAGTTCTTATTACATAAATGTGCTTTCTCTTTTATCAAGTTAAATCAAAATTATCAAATTAAATCAATATGTATATGTATGCACACACATATACATATACATATACAATTTTTGAATAAATTTCACAATATTTAATAGAATTAATTTTTTAAATTTATTTAAATTTAATTTCTGTATTTGTTTCAGTTAACATCTATGGATTCAAAACTCACTCTTATGGATTTAAAATTCTGTCCTCAAGAAACAGTAATTTTAGAAGAACGATAAGTAATTTGTTGTAATTAAATTAAAATGTAGAATTTAAGCATTGCAATATTCTGAAAGTGTTATTTATTTAACAAGTTTTGAATAGTTATCAGTTAGTATGAGTTCAGTTTATTGTGCAACTACATTTTTATGCTGTATCTTTTCGTACTATTCATTCGTACGACAAATGTAGTCTTATATTATAAAAAGTCCTTTCCATGCATGTGCATTGTATATTTTAAATTCCTAAAAATAAATTACATTTCAAAAAACCTCAAACAAAAGTAGCCTTTTGTTTGTCGTTACCATGATTGCAAAAAATATTTAAAAATATATTAAAGGAGTTCAATTTGTAATAAATATAAATGGAATTTGTAATAAAAAAATATATTTTGAATAATATTAAATTTTTTAAAGAATTTTTATTACAAATACAAAGATGCAGCAAAGACAATGTCACGTTTTATAAGTTTAATTGCTTCACTAAATTTATTTTCTAAATCCGTATTTCCAATATTTTTGGCTGCTTGACATAATTGTCTAAGAACTTCTTCTAAACGACGCATACATCTTATAATAGAACCTAGAATTAATTGAAATTATAATATTTTCAAAA